CATATCCATAACATGCCACTATTCTTTCTGGTGACTGGGTTGCTGTTGGAGTGTAGAGATGGAGTGTGATTGACTCTGTGTGTGTGTGTGTGTGTGTTTGTCTGGTCTCGCCTGGTTGGGTAACTAATGGATCCCAGCATGAGCTCCCTCACTCCAGCTGTGGCCTCGGGGGGTCTGTGGGGCCTGAGAGGCCCCCCATCTTGAAGCCTGACCTCCAGCTCTAATGAGGGAGCGTGTCACCCTCCAGCTCTCCCTCGCTGTGCACAAGCTGTATAGAGTGGCAGTTAAAGAGCGGCGGCTGGTTGTGTTTCAGTCCTGACCTCACTGAGAAGCGACGGTCACATTTGCATTTGCGGCAGTTTCTTGCTTTGTTTGCCTGTTATATAATACTGATGTAATGTCTCTGGCTCTGGGCTGCTGGTTTCACTGAAAGACATGACAGTGCCAGAGAAATGCCACCCTCAGAGGAAGGAATATTAAATGCACTTGAGGTTATTCAGGAGTGTGTGGACTGTGGACTGTGCATGTGTGGAACAGTAAACTGGATGCCTTTTTTTTGCACCATGTGTTTTTCTAAATTTTCCATGTGGTTCAGCCAAATACCAAAAACAAAGAAGCTCCTCTTCCTGCTGTCAGGAAGTAACCATCATGTTTTCTTGTGCACTTATGAGGATACTGCATTTACCACCAACCATTTACCAATGATTGCTTCCATCCTGGCTTTAGGCCTCAACTACTTTTGACTTGAAAAGCAACTTATAAGACCAAGGTGTGTTAGATGAAAAACTCAGACTGTTTGAACCGTTGGCTCTTTTATTGGATGTCCAGGGGTATTTGGTCTTTTGGGGAAGCTTATAAGTACCACTGCAGATGTAATGGAGATGCAATAGCCAGTGGACCCTGCAATTAAAACATTGCAAATAATAAGAACAGAATTATCCACTTTAGGTGCTCTCTTTGCAGCATTACAGGTTTCAGATCTCAGGCTAAGCAACTAAATTACTAGCTGTGAGGACCTGCAGGTATTTGGGGATGACTCCTTGAGAAATCCCCCTCATAGGATTAAAGTTTGTCAGCTTATCTTGTCTGCACACGCTCATTAAATATGCAGAGAACACCACAGAGTGCTGAACCTGGAAGTCAGGTAGCTGTAATCTGCGTTGTGATGCAGCCCGGCTGGATTTAAGCAATTAAAAGTCACTGTTCCTGATCAACCTCTGCAGCTGACTCAGTCGCCAGAATAAATGTACGTTTCTGCAAACCATGGATATATTGTGTTTTCACTTTATACTTTATGTAACATGCTATACTTTACAATTCAACAATGCTGTGATTAACATGTGGTTACAATTATGCACAAAAACCACTCGGTTACTGTGAAAATATCACATTTTGGCTTAAAAAATACTCACTTATTGTGGCACAATCCTGACAGGAAATGCAGTGATGACTCTGTAAAAAGCAGCAGCTTTTCTTGTCACTATCCCCACTGGAAACACAGCAATGAGTCGCTATAAAAATGTTTGTTGGTCTTAAATAGTGGTCTGCAGCCGTTCTTAAACCTTCATCGTAACATGAGGTCTTTGTGTCAAATGAACAGTGTTGTGCTAGTTACTGAAAAATAGTAACTAGTTACCGTTACTAGTTACTTCATTAAAAAGTAACTCAGTTACTTAAACCAAAAAGTAATGTGTTACTGATAAAAGTAACTTTTTAGTTACTCCCCCCCCCCAAAAAAAAAACTCGACTTAGGACTCTTGTCTTGGCTCGCCATCACCATCACGCGCACTAGTGTCATCTATACTCTGAGTACGTCCTGGCTGTAGATGACTGAGTGGGGACGCTAGAGGGCGCTAGGTGCTTTTCTTTTTTGCAGTGTAGTTTTTCTAAGCCACAAAGAAGACAAACTCAGCCCTGCAGCCCAAAACATTTCCTAACTGTATTGGCTCATAGCTACATCGCCTAAGCAACGGTGGATGGAGTTTAACTAAGGGACTGTTAGACTATAACTTGACAAAACAATTGAGCGGTATAGCAAACATGCGACCGTCTTCTACAGTGGAGTCACTCGCTGTCAGGCAGCTAAACGTTTTACAACTACGGTACTTGGATACAAATATGGAAAATGAGCTAAAGAGAACATTTGAAGAGCTACATGATGATGTCAAGTCTGTCGCCCACCGCAGACATTATCTGTCCACAACAAAAGCTTCCTCGGGATAACAATGGATATCACGTCACTGGATATAACGTTACTGGGACTAAAAATCTACAGAAGCGCTACCGCTTAATGTAACGTTACAGCACTGTGGTGAGGCCAGCAGGTCGACAGTGACTTCAGAGATGGTGAGAGACGTGTTTCATTAAGATGCTCTGGTAAGAATTGTTCATATACCTCTATCTGACTTGACTATCTTTTATTGTTTAGGGTTAAAATGTTTTAGTGAAAGGGAACTTCAGTTTGTGAAGGAATACTGCATGCTGTGCGCTGTTTTAAAACCTGGCCAAAAATAACAGAGTAACGCACCGTTTGGTAACGGTAACTGAGTTACTGAATTTAAAAACTAATATGTTAGAGTATTAGTTACTGTCAAAACTAACGGCGTTACTGTAACACATTACTAATAACGCGTTACTGCCCAACACTGCAAATGAAACACTTCAGTGCCTTTTTTTTCACCCTCATGTCACAGCAAACAGACACCTGAGGACGGAAGAGTTTACACTTTCATGTGATCAAACCCTGTCCCTTCAAACAGACATCAGCTCTACATAAAAAAACACAGCCTCCTCGTTCACCTTAATGTGTTTGCATGTGACAGAGAAGCTTGAAAAAATAAGACGCTCACAGTTAAAGCTTTAAGACTGGATGCTGAATCCTTAATGTAAGGAATAATATCAGGACGGCGCTCAGATTTGAAGACTTAACAGAAAAGCTCGAACCAGCTGTGAGTTCCTTCACTGTGCAGGAAGTATTACAAATCGACTTCTACACAATGACAACCGAGGGATTAAAACAAATAAGCAAAATGGCCACAAACACCTATGTACTACACACTGAACCAGCTGAAAAGGGGTTTCAAATTTCTCATTAACTGATGTTTCTGGCATTGTGACTCTTGGAAAACTTGAGTTTCCTTCTCAGCGTGATTTTTCTTCAAATCGTTTCAGACCCAGAGAGGTTAGACTGTTCATATGTCACAATAAAACATCAAAGATTAGAGAAAAGCTGATCATAACCCTCGACTGCAAACCAGAGTGTCCTCAGCAACACCAAACTAATTCAGTAAACCTTTAAACACTCAGGAACTTTGGCGAAGAGGAGACAGAACAGGTGCATTCAAGACAGTGCAGCTGCGCACAGGACTTAAAAAAGGCCTGAACATGAAGCGTATGCTCCCTGTTTCTGCCCCTCAGATAGGAAATGTCCCGGCCGAGTCTTTGTTGCCGCGGTGCTTCTGTGAGCCGAGTCTAAATGTGGATATCGATCGTTTTATGCAACAGAATAAAAGTTGAGAGGCAGCGGAGTGGGAGGGAGCCGGAGAGGCTGAGACCCTTCAGCTGTGAAGCACAACAAACACACACACGAGGAGGAACCCTAAAAAAGACTCAACGGTCGCCTTCCACTCCTCCCACTGTCAGCCTGCTGCTGCTGTGTGAGTGCGCCTCAGCCTCCCACACACACACACACACACACACACACACACACACACACACACACACACACACAACAATAGGAAAAGAGGAAGGAAAGCTCACGGTGAGTTTAGTTGGTCTTTTACCGCAGCTTTAAGAGTGTGTGTGTGTGTGTGTGTGTGTGTGTGTGTAGGCATTTGTGCTTTACCTGCTGATCTATTTTGATAGAAGCACCCCTTAAGAAGCCCACACATACACACATACACACACACACACACACACACACACGCTCTCCCAGCAGGTACGAACCAACTATAGAAACCCAATAAACTCACTGCACCGTTCACACAGCATCAACATGAATGTACCTTTATGAACATTGTTATTGATGACGAGGTCGTTCTTTACTCCAGAAGGTGATTAAATATTTTTAGGAGCAAATTTTACATTTTTTTTTCTTCAGGTTTTCTGAAGAGGATCCTCTGACACCTAAATATGTTGCTCACAAAATGTGTTTATTGTTTTTATGCCTGTTTGGTGACGTTTTATCCGACATGAAATGTACTAAAATTCAAGTACGCTTTTACAGCAGACAGAGGGTTCTACAGTCTGTGTTTGAAGGATATATCCAGGATGTCAAACTGACTCAGCAGCAACAACAGGTTAAAAAGGCAAAGATAGTTAGAAGCTAAAGCTGAACTATAGGCTACAGATCACAGTGTAAAAGTGAACCACCACATCACTGCTGATCGCCACACAAGACAATGAATATAAAGGGAAACTTTGCTCCCCCTGGGGCCACCAGCTCTTGGACCTCCACCGCCAGATGGGCAGGGATCTCCAGGGTAAGTCAAACAACGTTCATCTGCACACACTGTGATGACACACAGCTGGTTGAATATGAGCAAAGTTTCCCTGTTTCCCTTCACTGGTTCCTGTACAGCAGGGTCGGTCTTTGTTTCACTGTTATAATCATTACAAAGCAAAAACAGCATGTGTATGCATTCAGTAGGCTATATCTTCAGTAGCTAGCTAGCTAACCCTACACTTTTCAGGGTTTAATTTTGGTTTTGGAACAGGGAAGAAACGTATATCTGTTTCCAACCTCTCCAGGTAACGAGCGTTATTTTGGCCAGGCCTTGCTCATAAAAGAGATCATTTGATCTCAAGCAAATCTGCCTGGTAAAATAAAGGTTAAATAGAAATAAAATTAAAATCCGAAAACACCAGCCTGAAAATGAAGCCAGTCTGGATTGGAGGGGCGGGACTTAGGGAAGGGTCAATTGGTTTGTTTTTAGCCACCTAGAAAAAATATATCAATTTCCAGAAACATGACCCATGTCTCTGCATCAGGTATGACTCACCTGTTTCACTTTGCTGAGCTCCTCCTCCATCTGATGGTGAACTCTCTGAGACTCGACCAGCTGCTCCTGAAGATGAGGAACAAACAGGAAATCAACAAGTAGTACACAAACCACAGACTGTATAAACGTTACAGTTAACTTCCATGAACTGAAAATATACTTAAGTAGCAACAGCTGGCGCCCACCACTGAAAGTCCCTTAAATATGTACAACTTTAAGCTTTGACAACATTTAAACAGGTGACTTGTATAAAAATTCAGCTCCTGTGCAGTTGTCCTCAATGTTGAAATTATCTGTCGACACCAAACTGTTTTTGTACCAGGCTGTAAACATGTTTATTTCTGCTGTAAAGTTTTAACATGGAGGTCTGTGGGGACTGACTCGCTCTTGGAGTCAGCCTCAAGTGGACATTAGAGGAACTGCAGTTTTTGGTGCTCCAGTGTTGCCTTCATTTTCAACCCTGGAGGTTGCAGCTTTGATACCAGCAGGTCAAGGTCAGGTTATTTAAAGGTGAAATTGATTGATGTACTTCAGGTGTGTGTGTGTCCGTGTGTGTGTGTGTGTGTGTGTTGTTTTACCTGGAGCCTCTTGATCTCCCTCAGCGCCTCGATGTGCTCCTTCCTCAGCCTCTCCATCTCCTCCAGGTCCTCCGAGTCTGACTGTGACGACTGCACACAGACATCACATAAACTCTTAACCACTCAGACAACCTCAACATCTAAAAATAAATTCATTTTAAGTTATTTAAGTTACATCTCCACCGTATTTCTTTTCCTTAACCAACATAGCTTTATGTGTTCGCTGGGCGCTAACTCATTCGATATCACATGAACTGTTGTATGACGATACGCTGAATTATTTTAGGGGGGTGGAACCTTGAGTCCAAATAGAGTAATTCATTTAGGGTACACTTAATCAATAAATGTGTTTTTTATATCAAATTATTATTGAATAGCATTATAAACATGCTAAAGAAAAAAACAACAACTTTCGAGCCGCCATCAATCACTCTGACCAACAAACAGGCATTATTGAGGACTATTTTCAGCGGTGGATGAATCCACATTTGGTGCTCTGATGAATATTTGTGGCAGCAGGACAGTGTGTGTGTGTGTGTGTGTGTCAGTGTGTTCTTATTGATACTGTGTGACCTCGGTGGTGTAGAAAATCTTTACACCCTGCTGATTGGATGGTTCATGTGTCAACAGATCGATGTCGGAGCGACCACATTGATGTGACTCTGAGCAGCGTACCGGCACATCACCCACAGCTGATCGTCACACATGACGATGACAGAGGCCTGATGACTCTGATGGTGTCACTTCCTGTCATGTGCTGCATGTAGACACTCACACGTTTATTTATCCTGCTGATTAAACAGAGTTCTTAATGAACCCTCTGTCTGGTTTCTGATTTAAGAAAACAAGAAATATTTTTACACAAAAAATGACTTCAAGTGGTTTATGGTTTCAGCTGTTCTTTTATAAATTGTTGAGTTGAATTTATCACCAAACATCAGATTTCATACCTTAAAAAAAAACATTATCAAGATCAATATAAGTGCCAGGTTGCACAAAACACCTTAAGTTCAGATTTTCCTAAAGTCCTTGTTAAGGTTCCCTTAAAATAAAATCAGTTGCACAAAACACTGTTAAGTCTTCTCCTTAAGGTTTCTTGAAAATGCTCACTCACGTTTTCTCCTTGTTTCAGTCTTAAATTAAAGGAATCCCCAGACCATTGCACAAAAGACCTTAGCAACCAAAGTAAGGGGAAAAAAACCCTAAGGAACCTTTGTCTTTATCTTAACTGCTTCATGACCGAGTTTGTGGTGATTAATAAAAAACTAACACATCCTGCGAAGAGTGTTCGGCAACGATTTTCTTTTCTTCCTACAATCATTTTCTGTTTTCTGTATTTTGGATCAAATTGACTTTGCAGTTTGTGCTCTCTATGACTGTCTTCCGCCAGAAGTTTAATCTTTTCCTCCTCTGACCAGTAAGATTTTCTTATCTTCCTTTCTTCTGCCATTTTTTCACTATGCCGAGCCACACAAGGGCAACTTTGTGAGACGATAACAGGCGTCACAAACGTGAGTCCAAGCAAACAAACAATCTCCATGGAAAGTGTTAACATTAAATCTCTTTCAACAAAGTAAATGAGTTAGCGTCTTTCCTTAAAGGGAAATTTCGGTTTATTTCAACCTGTCTCCTATCGTCCTAAATTTGTTTCAAGAGACTAGTGACATAAAATAATAGTTAGCATGTTAGCCGTTAGCCTAGATACAGCCGGGGCGCATAGTAGCTTCAGACCTGTTAAAACATAAGTGAACGGGCAACCTTTAAGTGCAAAGTTAGTCCACTAAACAAGCTTTTTTTTCCACAAAGACCGCCTCATATCGTTTGGATAAATGTCTGAGAACATTTAGAAAACGACATGTAAACGTGTTGTCTTACCTTACCGGTGTGGTGCCATGTTTGTTTACCATTTAGCTCTGCTTTCCAAAGCGCGGCCGAAATATATCTGGCGAGCTCTTGATAAAGCCCAGCTGGATACTACTCCAGGTGGAGGTGTCTCGTCCTCGGTCACATCCAGACCTTGAAAATAAGGCTGCAACCGGTCCCATTCCTTGCAACAGAGGCATTCCTCTTCTGTGGGCACTGGGGCACAGCATTCACAGGTACACCACCAATCTTCAGAGCTACGCAGCCTTGCAGCAGCCATTCCTCCTCTCTCGTCCTCTACCTGTTGCACCTCTCTCTCTCTCCTCCTCCGTTCTTCAATTTCACGAAGCTCTTCGTCAGTGTATTCTGGCTCAAATAAATAAGGGCGGCCATCAAACTCTGCAAAATCAAATTCTTCCTCCACAAAGTCGAAGTCTGGCAAAAAGTCAGCCATTATTCTATAAATCTTTCATAAAATAAATGAATTAACTTTTCAGGCTACTGTCCGGTTCTGCCTTCCAGCTGTTGCTGCTTGTTCTCGCGAGATTTCAGGCACGGTATGAGATCGCTGCTTGTTCTCGCGATATTTCGGCCGCGCTTTGGAAAGCAGAGCTATATGGTAAACAAACATGGCAGCACACCGGTAAGGTAAGACAACACGTTTACATGTCGTTTTCTATATGTTCTCTGACATTTATCCTAACGATATGAGGTGGTCTTTGTGGAAAAAAAGCTTGTTTAGTGGACTAACTTTGCACTTGAAGGTTGCCCGTTCACTTACGTTTTAACAGGTCTGACGCTATTATGCTCCCCGGCTGTATCTAGGCTAACGGCTAACATGCTAATTATTATTTTTATGTCATTAGTCACTTGAAACACATTTAGGACGATAGGAGACAGGTTGAAATAAACCTAAATTTCCCTTTAAGGAAACCTTTTATAGGATTCTGTGCAATTGTGCAAGTTCCTCAGCTGTGGAGAAACTAAGCCTTGAGTGTTATACGAAAGGACAAAACTTAAGGGGTTTTGTGCAACCTGTCCTTGAAATTTAAAGGCCTACTTATGGACAGTTGAGTAAACGTACTTAGTTACATTCTGCTATGAATATCTTATTTTTTCATCAACCTTTAGCCAACAGTTGAGCATCTCAGCTGTTACAGTAAGACCACCATCTTTAATTTTCACACTTTCACAAATTCAGTCACCACAATCTTTCGTTGTTCTTTCATCATCATCAAATTTCTCAGGGATCAATCAATCAATGCAAAGATTATTTAGAACATGTGAATTTGTCCCAGCCAAATAAAAACATGAAAATAGCAGAGAACTTTTATTTCAACGAACTGCTAGAACCCGACTTCTAGATGCAGCTGTGCCTCCAGTAAAGTACAATGATTGCTTTCTGCCGTAGAACGGAAAGAAGATGAAGCAACTATGCGTGGTTTCATTTGGGAAGTACCATGTCATTTCCACCATACGTTGATGCAGGAAAGGCAAATAATTGGTGCATAAAAATTCACCAGAGTGTGTTTGTTGTTGGAAGAAAAAAACGTCAATTCACGTTGTCCCGATGTAGTGCTTTTATTTTGAAAGAGACTGTATGCAAACTGTGCATTTCCTGTGAAAACAGAAGTGTATTTTGAAAACAGACAATGCATGTAACAGGCTGAATTTGACACGGCGTCCCAGAACGTCAACAACCAACACACCCAGGGTACCTTGGACGTCATATGTGGACGTGGAAAGTCCATGACCAAATGTGAGCCGAAACACCAAATAAGACTGAATCTGGGGTTGGCTTCTACTTTTATTTTCACTGGCGAGCGTGTTTGCAAAAATTAACCAACAACCCTGCAGAGTATACTTTTAATAAAACCTCCCGGTTCTGGTTAAGAGCTAAACTATAGAGGTGAACTGACTCTGTTCGGTGTGTTTTTAAACCATCTGAACTCTGTAGTTTGTGACCCAGCAGCAGATCTGTAATGAGCTCTCACCTGTGCGTTGGTCAGTGACTCCAACAAACTGTACAGGTCATCAGACGTTAACCTCGACCCTGGCTGGCTGACGGTCAACTCCTCCAGCTGAGGCTTAAACAGCTCCCTGATCAGGCTCTCAAAATCTACACAAAGTACACACAAGTATACACATGTGCAATGTTGCTTCAGGGTGTTTACAGATCACATTCTTAGCAGATAAACCTCTCATCACAAACACTGGTTTAGGGTTAAATCTGTAAATGTGACTATACGTGATTTATTTCAGGTTAAACAGGGGGAATGTGGGAGTTGAGGGTGAGGATGTGTGTTGCAGTCTTACCTGTGAAGGCCACCGTCCCTGCTGAATCAGCTCGTAGTCTGGACCTGAGTGCCTGCCGCTGAGCGTCTGTGGGTTTCAGACCGAGCAGATCCAGAGCCTGCACACACACACACACACACACAGATCAATACACACAGTGGTGACGCCCCTGAAACAAACATTGACATGCTGTCACCATCTAATGAAATCCCTGTACCGCCCTGATTTAAGGTCCATGTTTGAGATGACGGGGAAAAAAATAAAACATTTTAGGAGTCAAAAAAGGAAAGAAAGTAAATCTTCAACTTAGCTGACAACATGATAATTAGCAGACTTAGATATGCATGGTTTTCAGTGGACAACAGAGGCTGTGGCCTGAGGCAGAAACTGACCTACAAGGCTGGTTTTCAAAGTATTAACACACATTTATTAACATTATAGAAACACAGCTGTTGACTCTGATCCTCTCTTAGCGTCCAAATCTTTCTGTTCAGTTACAAACAATGACATTAAATTTATAGAAAAATGCACATTACAAGTTCCCAAATCTTAAATGTTTTACTTTAACTGACCAACAATTTAGAAAACCCCAAATTATTCCTTTTAAAATGAAACTCCAATCACCACTTTGTAGTTGTGTGCACTTAACAGAAGATCTATACAATCAGCACAGTTTCAAGATTAGAGTCACCAATTCAGTATCTGACCAAATGTCTCCCCTTCTGTTCCTGAGATATGACGTTAAAACATGATGATGTCACAGTCAAGCTGACCTTTGACCTTTTGGATGTAAAATGTAATCACTTCATTATTTTATCCTGTTAAATGTTTGGGTGAAATTTTGTAGTAATTATCTGGTCTTGTGCCTGATCTGTTGGGCCGGCTACTCCCCCGCCGTTGGATGGTCTCTGGAGTAAGGAATCCCGGGTGTGCGAGAGGGTGTACGCCCCCTCATCCCGCTTGCTTCTTGATTTCAATTACCTCTTTTATTCAACGTTTGAATTTATTGGTCTCTGATGTGATTATTTTGCCCTTGTCCCAGTCCATGATGTGGTTATTTCTCCTGCAGTGATCTGTGATAAAAGAGGCAATCGAAATCAGGAAGCGGGCGAGCGGCACCATCAACCAGGATAAGAGGGCGTGCACCCTCTCGCACCCCACAGACCATCCAACGGCGGGGGGTGTGGCCAGCCTGACAGACTCTGATAGCTAATAAATGACACGTCAGCAACACGTCGGATGACACTTCTGAGGAAGACTGGAGTCACAGCTGAAACTGTCAAGCAGGTAAAAGAAACATCTCCGACACTTTGTTGTCTGAAGATAAGAAAATTCTAAATTCTTCTAAAAAGAAGAAAAAATGAATCAAATCAATCTGTTCTGGAGTTATAGCTAAAGACATGTTGAGGTCACAGTGACCTTGACCTTTGACCACCAAAATCTAATCAGTTAATCCCTGATCAAGTGGACATTTGTGCCAAATCTGAAGAAATTCCCCAAAGGTGCTCTTTGGATATCTGTATGTTCTTCACAAGAAAGGGACAGACAGGAAACCCAAACCATAATGCCTCCAACCAGAGAGTGTACCCTAAAATGTTAATCAAGTATCAGATCTGTTTTGGGTTAATATTTCTGTCAATCAACAAATCAATTGATTAATCACATCAGCACTAACAAAACCTGATGAGAGAAAATACACACAGGACTGAAAGCTACAGTGAAACAGAGGCTAACCTGGTAGTCGGGATGGACTCTGGATCTTTAAAACAAAGAGTACATATATATATTATAAATATGAAACTAAATCACACACACACACACACACACACACACACACACCTGCTCCATCCTCTCCAGTTTGAGGCGACAGCTGGTATCGAGGGAGCACTTCCTGTGAGAAGGCTGCTGACTGCTGGTCGGCTCTGCGGACAGAGATAAAACTTGCCTTAATTAAAACATGTCTATCAGTAAACAACAATAAGGTCACATCAACACAAACATGTTGTCCTGAGCAGAACACTGAGCTTTGGCCTCATAAAAGAGAGCACGACTAATCTTATCATCTTATCAAATCTTTTTTTGCTATTAATGAGCTCTAAATAATACAGATGTCATCTGTCATGATTCTGATGCAAAGATTTGTTTTATTCTGGCTTGTTTTTTTAAAGATGCCAACCCTCATGACAAAATTTGACTTTTATTGGAAACAAAAATAAAATAAATAAATAAATTCAGTCTGATTATGAGGCCAGACTGATGTCTACAGACGCTGTTGCTCTGTGAAGCTGCAGCCACCAGCCCAGTTCAAACCATGTTGAGATGACGAAAATCACCTTGCTCGGCACGATGTTACATTATCACACCCTCTCTGTTTCATCTCACATGCAGATACTTGGAGAGATAACGTGCAGAAATGTGTAGGATGAAGTGTAAACGGGTTGTGCTTCTTCAAAAATCAATAACACCAGTATTTTTGGTTCCAGCTACATTGTCATCGCAGGTCATCATCTTTCCAAGCACCAGATAATGATGGTACAGAGGTGTATGTGTGTGTGTGTGTGTGTGTGTGTGTGTGTGGAATCTTGCCTCAAGGCATATCTGTCATATTAAACGCCTGAATAATAGATCGCTGGAACGCTCTGTGCTACAGGAATCAGTGGTGCTGCAGGTCAGGCTATTCTCACAAATTTTTTGAATGTTTTCCTATGAAAAGCAATGGACACAAATTTGAGGTATTTTGAAATGCTGCAATCACCTGACCAATGCGCTGACAGCAGTAAACAAGGAAGCAGTCCCAAGCACTTCTAAGGAGGCAGGTTGGGGTGGTGGATGGGATGGGACACAAAGAACCAGTCTTTCGCCTGGGACTTTCCTCTGAAGTCTTGTGTTTGGATTCCTGTGGACTTTGAGTCATTTTAAGGTACGTCCTGACAGTGACATCGGCCATCCTTGAACCTCTCACACTGTGCGACATAGGACCACCATTTTACAACCACCACCAAAGATATCACCACGTTTCTTTGAACAACCAAAATTGCACACTTTGCAACCTGCTTCCACCCCAGCTCCTCCTTTTCCTGTTGTGTCTGACTTATCAATGTAATTTCTGTTTGTCACTGATGCTGCTCTGCTCTGTTACTTTGCTGGTACTTTGCTGCTGCTCTCCCTGCCTCAGGCTTTCCACGCAGGCACATGGAAGGGCAGAGAGGTTTGCTCTGTCTGCCTTAACTGTTTCCACGTGTGAAAGTTCATAGCAGTGTGGTCTCTCTGCTTTAGGTTTTCCACGCAGGCACATGGAAGGGCAGAGAGGTTTGCTCTCTCTGCCTTAACTGTTTCCACGTGTGAAAGGGCATAGCAGTGTGGTCTCTCTGCTTTAGGTTTTCCACATAGCTGCGTGGAAGAGTGTGGAGGTGTGTTCCATCTGCCTTAAGGCTTTCCTCATTTGCACGTGGAAGGGCGAAGAGGTGTGCTCTCTCCGCCTTTGGCTTTCTTAGGAGAGGCAGAGAGGCCATAACAGGCCTTACTGCCAAATATAATACTGCAAATAGAAATAAAGTTTTCTTTGACTAAAGTGTTCCTGACTGAAGTAGTTTTACATTTACTTGAGTTACATTTTAATTAATGTAAAAATACTTTTACTTGAGTGCAATATTCTATACTCGTTCCACATCTGGAAAACCATACAAACAACACAGCATCAATGTTTGCAGTCGTTTTCCATTTCTTTTGGTTTGGGTGTCTCCTCGGTAGGAGGGGTGGGGGGTGTTTTACACTATCTCAAAATCTGTCCACTACTCTTTCTGAGGTGTTTATCTCCCTCAGGCTTCCCACAAATTAAACCAAAGCTTAATAATCCAGATATTCCTACAGACAGGTTTAGTGGTACGACTGAAGCGAATGTTGGAGGTTCTCTAACACAGGTATCTGCCCTCAACGTCCTCCATCGTCTGTACTGGAATGTCTGGTGATCACTGGTGTGACGTCGACAATCCACAGAGATGCACATATGGAGAAAGACCTCAGGATCCCTCTCACACACAGAGACAAGATGATGCTTCGGACCTCTGCGGCCAATTGTAGGCCAGACCCCCCGCCTGCCTCACTTCCTCCTCTGACAGACAGCCAACCACACGCCATCTGTCCCTGTCCTGCTGCCTCCTCCTCCCCCTTCATTCGTCTCCATCAGGACGGCTGCCCGGTTTTCATTTGCACCTCATTTACACCAGTTCTTAATGTCTTTCAGTGGGTTTTTATTCACCTGTTTTTATTCGCATTTTAAAGAAAATCTAAGCAAGAGGTCGAGTTAAAGTGTTTCCTGTCTGAGGTGTGAAGTTGATAAAATTAGTATCGGACTGAGTGAATAAATGATGCCGTATATGAAGTATGAAGCTTTGACTGGAGCTCTTTCAATCACCTCTTCTTCCTCTGCAGTGGTTTAATGGCACCGACTGGAGAATTAGCTTCACCAGATGTTTATATATAACATATTAATATTCACACAACAGGAGTGGATTATAACCATGAAGTAGAGAAAGACAGATTCATACCAGGGTTCATATCAGTGATGCTGTCGCTCTCTGGTGGGGAGGACACACGTGTCGGCTCTGTTCTTACTGCAGACACTCGCACCTGCAAACGTTAACACAACATATGAATAATGGGTTGATAAGAGTGTGTTCACATGTGTGTTCATGTGTTTGTGTGTGTCATGACCTCAGTTTAGTGCAGTGAGAGCGATAATGCGCCGATTTTACAGAAGGTGGTGGTGTAACATGAAGTCACATATATTTGTAAGATGATTTAATTCAGGTTGAAAGTTGATCCTAGTCAGTGAGACCCATTTTAAGTGCTCCAGAGTTTATTCAAGACTAAACCAGTACAGCTTTTATCCTGGTCTGTACTGAAGCTCACACCTGGCTGACGTTGACCGCCGGCAGAGTCTCACTGGCAGGGTTTCTGCTGGAGGTGATTTTGGTGACCACGGCAGGCTGAGGAGGCATGGCCCCCAGCCCCGGGGGCCTCGTCTGGGGCCCACCTCCACCACCAGACCCCTGCATGGAGATGGGGCTGTGAGGCCCGCTGCTGGAGCTGGAGGAAGACCGCCGCCGGATGAAGGCGATTTCCACCGTGGGGTCTGGTCTACAATACAGAGGACAAGTCGCTGTTTATAACGTGATGCATGAAGCATTTTTAGACATCCATTCATAAAGTTCACAACAGAAACAAGAGTATTCATAGCTTTTGTTTGCAGTAGACCAAATTTAACCCTTTTTCTCACAAATATATAATACAGAGAAAAAAAGGAAAATAAAAAAAGTCAAATTTCTAATTTTAAATATTAAACACTGAAATTGATATTTCTGACTATCCAAGAAAGTACAAAATTGAAATGTAATGCAAAGACTCTTCTACCTGTCATCACTGATGACGTCACAATCATTTAGAAATTGATGTATTTTATGTCTTGTTAGACTATATTTCAAAAAACGAATTCGCAAATTAACTGCCCCGGTAAAGTCTGTGTGATTTCTGATTCACTCTAAATAAACTAATGACTAAACCTGAATCCACAAAATACATACATCCGCAAACATCCATATGCAGTGTACTATACCTGCCTTTAAGAGAAGATAATCGCTTTAAGTATGTATGTTCAGTCTGTATAAGTTTATCATGGATTTACAAATAGCTATTGTCATTGTATAGAGCCAAACTTTTGAATGATTTATGCCTTTGAAAAAGTCTCCAGGTGTGTTGGACCTGAGTTTGGTGCGTGTCAGGATGCTCCTGGCCTCCTCATATGTCACTCCAATCAGAGACTCTTTGTTGATGGACACCAGCTGGTCTCCGACCTGCAGCCTGCCATCCTTAAACAGCACAGATACAAAGAAACCTTCAGATCCTGCTGTTCAACAAGCTAACTGGGCTTCTGGGATGAAGAAAAATAATTTATGTTTTTGGTGACATTATCTGTGTTTTGTTTTGCTCTTACCCATAGTACACGGAATTACAACAATCTAAACATGATGAAATAAAAGCAGCTGTGACATTATCGATACAAGATATTTGCCTTCAGGCTGGACGAACATGGATGACCAAGTAAGTAATTCACATTTGACAAAGAAAATAAATAAATATATCATATTAATCAGTGAAAGTTAAATATTTTGTTTAAGATAAATCTGTTTGTCATCTGCATAACAGTGGTGGTGAATTTTCTGCTCGAGAAAGTTAGAAGTGGAAACATAAAATGAAACAAAAAAGTGTCCAAGAATGGAGCCTAGGGGAACACCACAGGTTAAGCAGGGTTTATACTTTTGCAGTAAATCAACACCATACCTACAGCGTAGGCTCTGCGTAGATCCATACTAGTCTATGTTGTAGCCTAACATGCACCCCCTCAATAATGTATCTCCACGTAGTGGCAACGCAGACCTCCTGTTCATTTTTGTAAACTGAAAACTATTGCCCTCGATGGAAACAAAGCCTATAATTTACTCTTATTTCACAGATAATAAACAATAAATGTTGAGACAGTACAGCCCCCACAGTATTTTAAGTGATTTGTCTTGGCTTCATATGAGTAGAGGAGATCTGCTGGCTGCTAGGCTAATTTATGCAGTGTAAAATGTAATAAGGTTATGTTAATGTAAACAACATGGGTGTTTATGAAGGAATAAAACATTCCAACATGCTCTGGATTTTCCTCATAACTTTAGTGAAGTCCGAACACAGATCAGTGATTACACTTCCTCTGTCCTCTCCACGCTCTACTCTCTCTCCCCCTTCTCTTTTTTCCCCAAGACTAAATATATTAAACTACTGTTATAACTTTTTTTAAATGTTCTTTTTTTTATTTCACTGCTTTTTATTTCATTTGATTTTAAAGGCCTTTGTCACTGCGTTTATTTTGTTTTCATAATATTATGTTAAGAATGTTTTCTTAATATAATATATATATATATATATATATATTATAAATGTTGTAAAAAGGAAATGATGTAACATCACACAGTCCAAATGACGTCAATACTTTTGTTCACATTAAAGCTCTCAGTGAGGACGCTGACCTTCTGGCAGTCTCCTCCAGACACTATTTCCTGAATGAACACCATTGGTCCTTCTGCGCGGTTAGCTCCGCCCTTGATGACGAGCCCCAGGCCTGTTCCCTTGGATACGCATATCAACTGAATGACACTGTCACTGGGGAGAGAGACAGAGAGGATGACACTAAGCATTATTAAAAGCCACAAAGCCATGCTGCCGCTCACATTCAATCCCACCGTGACATAATCTCTAACCCTCCTCCTCCTCCTCCTCTTCCTCCTCCTCCCCTCTATGTGTATCTCTCTCTGGTCTTCCTACACTTCCCTGTGAAATTGCTGAAGATGCTTTTCACTATTTTTAGCTGTTGCTGTTGCTCCAATGCTGCAGAAATACAATTTAACAGTTTACATAACCACCTTCTAAAAACACAAAACAATAGAGCTGTTATTTGAGCACACACTGCATGTACATGTAGTTTGATCACAGCAGTGAATCCCTGAGTGGTTTTAATTTGTTCCCAGTTTTTGTTTTATGGTCTCTTTTCCTGTTTTGGAGAAACGCAGAAAAAATAGACAATATTCATTCATCTGTGGTCTCTCAGTCAAAAGCTTAATTTAAGCCAAATTTCTATCCATGACCTCATCACATGTTTCGGTGATGAACTTTCCACGTCAAGATATGGCGTGCAAGGTACCCTGGGTGCATTGGTTGTTAACTTTCTGGGACACCAGACGTCAGTTTTCATACAGTCTCTTTCAAAATAAAAGCACAACGCTGGTACAATGCTGTAAATTGACATTTTTTTCCCTCAACAACAAACGCACATGGTTGGATTTTGAAAAAAAAGAGCAGGGTTTGGCTTTACAATCAAAAGGTAAGTCAGTGGTTCTTTGACCCATCCACCATCCTTCTGCCTGTCCTATTTGGACTTTCGTCCCCATAACTTACGTTGTTGTCCCGTCACGTTTCCCCCTGACGCCTCTGGGCATCGTTAAACAATACTGGTGAATGGCTATGTATCATGCCAACATGTAAGGAGGTTTTTATTGTCTGTGTTTGACTCAGGAAGTCACTGACTAAGTGCCGGTTTTCAACGACGTCGGATAGAGACTGGGTTGATGTATGAGCGCTTTAATTTAAAGACTTACATGAAATTTAACTCACAGTCAGAGCTGTGATTGGCCAGACTCCTGACAACTACACTATTGGCCAGAGGTTTTTTCATTTAATTGTTTACACACTGTTACTGTTGTAAAATGTTTAACTTCAAAGATGGCTGTCTTTAAATGGAAGTAATGGGGAAACTGTGAATGTTAAAACAAAAAATGAATAAACTGTAAGATGGAATTAAATCAGTCAACAAACTGTAAAGTAAACCAAACAATAAATTATTTATTAATTGACTTTACTCAAACACTGCACAGCATTTTTATTATCCTGTCGGGACCTTTCTGACTTTGTAACACTACTTTATCCAAACTTTTAGGATTGACAGAGCAGAGCAGGCCTCACTGTAGAATCCATAAGAACAGACAAGTTATTTCTATAAAGGTTGAAATGTGCTGCAGCCGTGTGATTCCTACCTGAAGGCATGCGTGGGAGTGTGCACAGTGTAGGGGGGGTTGGCAGAGTAAGAGGAGGCGTGGGTGTAGGCGGTGACCCCCTCTTTAGGACTGAGGAGCTGGGGGCTCTCTGATCTGGAAGAGGAGGAGGAGGAGGCCGTGTCTGTCAGCTTTCCTGAACAGAGACGAGAGAAGAAGAAGAAGAAAACGGGAGAGGTGAGCAGGAAGAGGTGGGAGACAGAGAAGAAGAAAGAGGGAGAGGGAAATAGAAAGAGAGTAGGAGGGAGATGGAGACGGAGGGAGGAGGTGGAGAGTGGTGGATGATGGGACAAAGAGCGAGATGGAGGTGGAGAGACAAGAGAACACAGGTTCAATCAGATCACTTTATTAATATCAGTAATCAAAGATTTCTAACTGTGGCATCAAACTAAAATCACACAATAAAGTGGAGTGACTGTCTCATATTTCTGTCCCTGTGGGGACACATGTTAAACCCTGAGAGAGAGGACAGTTTAGACACATTCATTTTGGGACATCTTTGTAAAGTAAGTCAAATAAGAGGAAATACAGTATTTTTAAATTAGGACATTTTTTGCTGAGTGAGAATATTTTTGAGAAAGGGAGGACATTTTTTGAAAAATCAGGACATTTTTGGAAAGTGAAGCCATTTTGGAAAAGATAAGACATTTTTGCAAAGTGGGGACATTTTTGGAAAAGTGAGGACATTTTTGCAAAGTGGGGACATTTTTGGAAAAGTGGGGACATTTTTGAAAATGTGGGGACATTTTTGCAAAGTGGGGACATTTTTGGAAAAGTGAGGACATTTTTGGAAAGTGGGGACATTTTTGGAAAAGTGGGGACATTTTTGAAAAAGTGGGGACATTTTTGGAAAAGTGAGGACATTTTTGCAAAGTGGGGACATTTTTGGAAAAGTGGGAACATTTTTGCAAAGTGGGGCCATTTAAAAAAAATGAAAACAATTTTTGCAAAGCAAGGACAAAAAGTGAGGACATTTTAAGAAAATCAGGACATTTTTGGAAAGTGAAGACATTTTTGCAAAGTGGGGACATTTTTGGAAAAGTGAGAACATTTTTGAAAAAGTAAGGACATTTCTGAAAAAGTGAAGACACTGAAAATCAGGACATTTTTGGAAAGTGAAGACATTTTTGAAAAAGTGAAGACATTCTTGAAATTATAAGAAATTTTTGCAAAGTGGGGACATTTTTGAAAAGTGAGAACATGTTTGAAAAGATAAGACATTTTTGCCAAGTGGGGACATTTTTGCAAAGCAAGGACACTTGAAAAAGTGAGGGCATTTTAAGAAAATCAGGGCATTTGGAAAAGTTTCCCATTTTTACAAATTGAGGAAGTTCTTACATAGCGGGACATTTTTAGGATATTTTTGTAAAATAAGGATATTTTTACAATGTGAGGTCAATTTTTAAAAGGTAAGGATATTAACTGTGTGAGAACATATTTGCAAGCTAAGAACATGATCCGAAAATCAGGATTTCGAAACATTTTGACATTTTTGCAAAGTGGGACATGTTTGGAGGGTGAGGAGTTTTTTGCAAAGTGCAGACATATTTAGAAAATGAGAACACTTTTGCAATGTGGGGACATTCATGAAAAGTCATATTATTTTTGGAAGCTGCAGACATCTTTAGGAGATCAAAACTTTTCCAGATGGTTGAGACACGTTTGTAAACTGTGGACATTTTGTGCCGTCCTCACGTCTTCAAAGCGCTGCTGTTTAGGCTTCAGGTTGGTGTCAGCTGTGAGTGACTGAAGTATAAAAGTATCTGGATGTGTAGGTGTGTTTTACCTGTGGAGAGCTGAGTAGGAGAGATTCGTCCTGAAGCTGTGATATTATTGGAGCCGTACTTTTCCATCAGCTCAGCAAACTCCCTCCTGAAGGACACACACACACACACACACACATGTGTTATTTTGTGTAATCTCTTTTGTCTGCTTATACGTCCCTGCACGTGTCTTCACTGCATTACACAATAAAAAAAAATCTAATGTGGGTGATCAAGTTTTTGAATTAATGTACTTGTTTTGAAAAGACGGCTGTTTTAGTTCATTAAGATCTTAATAACATTTTGATACTGTAGTGAAGTTACTCCTTTATATTAATAAACATCAGGTGAAAAGACTGATGAGTCAAAGATACTGAAGGTGCAGAATAAATTAGCATCATGAAGCTTTAATGAAAGACAACAAGGATCTTTCTGCTTTTCCTCCAACATATTTTGAAGAAGAAATATTTGACTTTTTCTCTACTTCAATCTGCTAGCTGGTGCTCTGCATTAAAAACAAGAAACATAAAACATATTGCATCTCTGTCTTTCCTCATTTCATTTCCACCCTTCATCAACTGATGTCAAAACATGAAAACAAGATTTTTATCACTGCTTTTATTTTGGATGCTTTACTTTCACTAAATTATGAATCTGACTGCGGGTTTTGACAGCTGAGGTGGATGCTTTGAGGGAAGCAGGCAGATCTGTGGGTGTTTGTCTCCCTCACATGGACGTGGAGGAAACCTGAGGTCACACCATCACGGTCTGATCTGAATGTGATCCTATCGGCTGTTAATGCCTCTTAAACAGGACCTGCACGGTCACTGAAGCTAAACACTCAGAGGTCAGAGGTCACAGACACTGTGACACCTGTCTGACCAGCGAGCAGTGCGAGGAAACGTCTGGATTTAAAGCATCAAAACATTAGTTTATATTGTGTCTCATATGACAAGTTCAGACTCCACGTTTGTTTTTCTGTTTCCATCCACTGAACCTGTGAGGACGCCAGAACCAAATCCCCAAGGGATGATTTCATCAGGGTGTCCTCACAGTGACCGGCTGTACCGCCCGGGAGCAGCTGCACATAATAATCATAATTTGCTTCAAGTGTGAAACAAATCGCTGCAACAGTTGAGGTCGAGCTTTGAGGTGAATACCTGACGTGTCGACACAAAGCTGCTTTCACGCGCACACACACACACACACACACACACACGGTCTTGCCACTGCTTTGGTTGCGTAATAATGGATGAAAATGAAAGGACTCCTCTCTCTGCCAGAGGTTGGACGACCTTTCCTCTGCAGTCACAACAACACAGTCGCTTCCTATCAACTTTTTCAGCAGGCTGCACCTGAAATAACCTTCCGTTCCTCTCTCATCCACATCTGCTCATTTCCTACATTTTCCTACATTTTCTTTCTCTGATGCCTTCAGACATTCTTCTCCTTCTCCTTCACATCCTTTTTTCTTACCACCATGTCACACCTCTTAAACGAGTCTAAAACCACCAACACACACTGAAGAAGCAACATATAAAATCATTTAAAAACATATAAAACAGCTACAGGTCACTAAAAAATACCCACATGGCTGAAAAGATGCTGGAGAACACAGTATGGACTCGCTTAAACATGACCGGTTTTGTTGTTTGTTGGTCCTGAACAGTGGTTTGTAGCTTGATCAACCAGGTCTCACTCCCATGTCATCAAATACAGCCACTTGGGCAGTGACTTCTGGTGATGAAAAAAGTCATCCTTTTCAACATCCGTTGTTGTGTAACGGCGCCTGGCAGCATCAAGGGGAAACGCAGCAGGACAACAACTCAAGTTAAGGGGTCAAAAGTCCAAGTAGGATGGCAGGGAGGGGGGACAGATGGGTCCAACAACCATGGACTTTCACCCAGGAGGCCAGGGTTTGCTTCCCGTGTGTTCATGAAATGAAACCCAGTATTTGTATTTTTAAAGTTTTCATACACCCCTTATAGTCAAGAGGCATCATGGTCCCCTGTGAAGCTTAGCGACCTCTAGTCGGTGTTGCGACCCCCAGGTTGGGAACCAGTGGTTTAAACAAACAAGATATAATTAATAATAATCCAATAATCTCTGTGCACTTTAGAGGTGCTTGTAGGTGGATTTTGTCACCTTTGGACAGAGCCAGGCTGACCGACTTACATGGCATGGGGCTGTACTGTGCAGGGCAAAGTATCCTTAGGATTTAATTTATACCAGTCTGCAGGTCATGATTTACGTCCAGTGCCGATATGCAGTGCTGATGTAGAAAGTAGTGTAACCTTTATGTGTCAAAATTGTAGTCACAGTAGTAGTAAGGATGTGGAGGTGAGGGTTTGTGTTTCTTCGGGATTTAGACTTGTCTGAGTTTCAGCTTCAAGAGTTTAAAAAAAAAAGATGTATTTTGTTGTAACATGTTGATGGTTGGGAAGCAACAGTGGGATTTGTCATGTTGGTTTAAAAACATGACGATAATAATCCCAAGCGATGACCTTAAATCACAGAAAACGACTGCAGTCTGCCAAGCGTCCTGCAAAAAGTGCAGCCAGGAAGTAGCGCGCTCGCTGCTCTTTGTGCTGATCTCTGTGTTGCTTTACATCTCTGATCAGCTGGAGCTGTTTCCCTGAGCATAGACCCCGTGGACAGACAGCAGAGCGTCCCTATTGTGTCACTGTGCGTTTGTCTCAACGAGGCAGGCTGACGTGGAAAAGCACAGGGGACAGCAGAGTGCCAGGTCAGTTTACCTCCTGCTGGTGAACCACAGGAGCGCTGCCTGTCAGACGCACACGTTCACTTCAGAGTTTACACAAAGGACGGATCAAACCAGTGACATGCTTCACTTCATTGGGCAGTAAAAGCTTGAAGTAAGAAGACCCGTCTCTCATGTGGCCTCTGAAACATCAGCTGGTGTCGGGGAACCATCAGATTAGGAATAAAAGATGAATCCTTGGAGAACATATTCATGAAAAACCTTTTTTTAAACACTAAAGCCGGACTCTTCCTCCACACACTCTAGGATTCTTCAAGAAAAGCTTTTGTTAGAGACAAATTTAAGAAGCTTAGAGGCTCCTTCTGATTGTTGACACATAAGTGAAATTATTTACACACACCTGAATGTGTGAGAGGTGTGCTGGAGGGAAGAACGAGTAAAGAACATCCTGCAAACATTCACTTTTATCTTTTTAAATGTTTGACAAGTCATCCTCACTGACACATTTTTGTAGTCACTTCATTATTTGATTTCAAACAAACCCACATTGAAACAAGGAACATTGTACCTGGCTCAGTTGGAAAAAAGACATGATGGAATTAAGGCCGATGGGAACAGGGCTTTGAACTGAATAATGGTGCGTCTGCGTCTCCTGCCGTAGATCGACTGTTGACTATATTAATATCCAGAGGGAAGTTTTTTAACATCACAGCAGCCAGATACATTAAAATACATTCAAAACGGAAACTGTTCAGTGAAGCTGAACCCAAAACAGAAAATTTTACACCCCAAAATGTTTGAAACTTAAAGGTCCAGTGTGCAGGAGGTATCTGCTGGCAGAAATGTAATATAATATTGTCAGTATGTTTTATTTAGTCTATAATCACCTGAAATTAAGAACTGTTGTGTTTTTGTTACCTTAGAACGAGCCGTTTATATCTATATAGGCAGCAGGTCCTCGTTCTTCGTCCTATGCTCACGGCTCGCCATTTTGCACCAGACAAACCAAACATTGGCTCTAGATAGGGCCATTCTCTTTTTTTGCATCAGCCACTGTAGTTAGAAGCCCCTCCACGATGAGCAGCAGTGGAAAAACACTGATTTTTGGTTAAAGATAAAACTACTTTATCACCTTTATTGCTTTATTCTAGCTAGGGGTTGGTAGTTCATACGTACAGAATAAAAGTTAATGGCTACTAGTGGTGTTCCTCAGGGCTCTGTCTTAGGTCCCCTCTTACTTATCATCTACCGAATACGTCTTGGTCATTTTTAATCACCTGGTCTGTTTGTTTTGGAGAGACAAAGACCTCTGTGGATAATTTGGCTCCTGGTAAAAACCTACTGAACATCTAGATCTTAAGTTTTCAAAGAAAAAAGGAGAACACACATTAGCAGGGGCTAGTCAAATGGCTCAGCCCTGACATGCCAAGCAGCATTGGAGAAACACTGATTTGTGATGTCAAACTGCTTTATTGTTGTTTTCACTGGTTTAAATCAGCAGGTGTGTTTGTTTTGGAGAGGAAGAGACCTCTGTGGATAATTCACCTCCTGGAAAAATCTTCCTGAACAATGAACACTGAAGGAATTCTAACCAGGAGAAGTTTCAGCGGGTTGCAATCTGCAGTCCTCACCACTAGACGCCACTAAATCTCCTTAAGTCTTACACACTGCTCCTTTAAAAGATCGAGAACGACCTGGGGTGTCAAAACATGACAGTGAGGTTTTATTTTTTTGTCTCACCTGGATTCATCGTCTCTGGCAACCAGCAGGGACATGTGATTAGAGAGCGAGGCTGACCTCAGGATCTCCACCGCCCTGTCAGTAAACAGGATGAAACATTTTTACCTGGCGTGCAGGTGAACATAAAGTATATAGGTAGCTCCAGCTCAGTCACCAGAAGAAAATGTTGGCATTGTACATATCTGTAAATTACAGACACGTAACATTTGTACATTTAATAGGTATGTGAGATGACTTTGTCATCTGTAGGTGGAGGGGATGGTCAATGGCCAGACCACTGTTCGAGACCAACTAACGAGACCAGTTGTTTTTTAGTGAGTCATCGCTGCATTTCCAGCGACATTTTAACCACTAAATGTGGGTGTTTTCTAGTAACTCATTACTGTTTTTCACTGGGGATAGTCCCATGAAAAGCTCCAGCCGTGGTTGTGCCACCACAAGTGTTTTCTGTGCCTAAACTTAACCACACGTTAACTGCACTTGTTGAAAAAGATGTAATATATCCATGGTTTGCATAACCTTACAATGCCAACATTTATTCTAGCTATTGGGTTGGTAGTTCATACGTACAGAATAAAAGTTAAAAGCTACTAGTAGTGTTCCTCAGGGCTCCGTCTTAGGTCCCCTCTTACTTACTACGTCTTGGTCATTTCTTCAGAAAATCTGGCATTCATTTCCAGTGCTACACTGATGACACCCAGCTCTATCTATCTACCAAGCCTACATCCACTCTTTCACCCAATTCCCTCTCTGACTGCTTATTGGATATTAAATCTTGGCTCTCGTACAACTTCCTCAAACTTAACAGTGATAAAACCGAGTTTCTCCTTGCAGATACTAACCACTCCCCTTCCTACCTGTCTGAACTCCCTCATATCTACACACCCTCCTGTACTCTTAGATCCTCCTCTGCAGTCCAGCTCACATCACCATCTGCTCTCCTGACTACCATGGGCTCTAGATCCTTCAGCTGTTTTGTCCCCACCTCTGGAACTCTCTCCATCATGACATTCACAATATTGACTCCCTGTCCTCCTTAAATCCCATCTGAAAATACACCTCTTCAAGCTGGCATATTTGGTCTGATTTAATGGTGACACACATATCGAGATTTGGCTGATGATGACTTTATGATGATGATGATTTAATACCTCATTTTTATAATTATGTTTTTTCACCATCTTAGTTAAGCATGCAAACTAGCTAATTAGCAGTAAACACAAAGTACAACTGAGGCTGATGGGAATGCCATTTTTTCTGCAGGTATGTACAGACTGAAACAAGGAAAAGTCAGGCAATCACAGACTAACATTCCTCCTCTGAGCACCATGAATGTCTGAACCAAATGTGGTGGCAATACATCCGGCAGTTGTTAAGATATTTCAGTCTGAGCCAAAGTGATGAACTCACAGATATTGTCATCCCTGAAGCCAAAAATACCTCTGCCAAGACACACACACACACACACACACACACACTCACTGATAAACTGCAGCTGCAGCACACGTCAAACTCACCTCTCATTGGTCACTCCTATCAGACTGATGTTATTGACATCTAAAATCAGGTCACCTGACTTAAGCCGCCCTGGAACAGAGAGTAACAATCAGACAGACAGACAGACAGATCTGTTGAGGGAGGACAATGATAACAATATTAAATTCCCCCTGTATGAGACAATTTACCAAAAAACTACCTACCATCCAGAGCTGCCAACCCACCAGCTACCACTCGCTTTATGTAGATGCCAAACTCTTCCCCTGTCAGCTCTCGGTAACCCCCGATTATCTTCACACCTGTGCACAGAGGAGCTCAGGTTAGTTAGGAAACAAATGATCTGATGATACTTTTAGCACCGCTGTCTGTTGTTTATACATATGCTGTTGTCCACACCATGTTTCTACACCCTGAGCTGCAGTTTAGAGACAACTGAGACTATATTAACTATGATCCAGAGGTCAGAGAGGTCAGGAAGAAAGATGCTCACCCAGTCCCTTCTTGCAGTCACAGAACTCCAGCCTCTGTACAGGTCGGTTGATGCCGTGCGGGCCCATGATCGTCCTGGCAACAAGCAAAAACACAACGGATTCAAAAACATATCAACATCCTGCCTCATCCAAAGCCTCTCCCTCTCCTCTCCGCTCCACTGCACAAAATAATCAAATCATCACAGGATTTTGTTATTTTCTCCCCCTCTCTCTCACCCTCCCTCCTCCACCCAGCCACATCCAAACCAATAAAATCTGTCGCCTCTTAACAGCGGTTGAACCGTGCAGTGACCTGGATGTTAGGAAGCCTCAGTAGACTTAAATAAAAATTTTAAAAAATCAAAGGAACATTACAAAGCTGTTATGATCCTTGACAGCCCCTTGGTGACACAAAGACTGTGTGCAGAGAGATTTGTGGGTGAGAAGGTTCAGATTAAAGCTGAAGAGATTCCTCAGATGAGGTTAACATGATGCTGCTGTCTGCTGGTCCTGTCCCGAGGCTCAGCTCACCGTCAGAGCAGAGCTGGTCTCACATGCTTACGTATGTTTGTGTGTGTGTATGTGTTGAGACAGCATCTACTGTCGTGGACAGACTCACTTCACAGGGCCGGCACAAGAGTGTTGCGGGGTCCTGATTAGAATTTGATTCCCCTCCACCCCCCATCCTTACAACAAACAAAATCACAAATTCGTGGCACACTGCAGAATTTTGGCAACTTCTCATAAACCCAACCCCCCAGCTAAAACGTACACACATCTTTTGTCCCAGTATTAAACAACTTTTGGTTTCACGTGGAGAAATTTAGGGGGCTTTTACCACGGGTGTGACAATCCATTCATCTGGATCGATATATCGATTAAATGATCAATGATCTAATAACATTGATGCAAAGTGAAAACATCTATTCATATCATCATCTTTAGTTTATGCCTTCATTTGGACAGTCTGTGTCACCGTCAAACAGCAGCAGGTAGATAGCAAGCAGCAGAGAGAAAGCAGCGAGGAAATACGTTCGATTTTGGAGAAAACACAAGTCAAAGGACAAAGCACATGCTGTTAAGAGATAAAATACGATGTAACGTTACCTGCCTGGCCGCACATCTCACTCTGCTAATTTTTTGCAGCAACATTAGCTGTTCTGAAGGCTGAAAGGAGAGGAAAAGTCTGCTAGCCGATAGGTGACTTGCAAAAAACAATTGACATGTCTATGAATCTTGACCTTGTTGTTTTATGGCTGTTTGGAGAAGTTTGCCTTCAGGGCCTCAAGACAGATAACCCTAAAGTTCTATGAAAAAGATCATGGTCTGGGTTAAAATGACAAAAAACAGGGCTCTTTGAAAGAAAGCTATGAAGGCTAAATTATCTTGTGCTGTTTTATGTGTGTGTCAGTTTAAGTAAACTTTACTGCACTTAAGCAATTACAATTATTTACATTATGTCTGTGTTGTTTTTATCTTTTATGGCCAAAACCAAAAAAAGAAAGGGGTGGCGGCATCTCCTGTAATCTATTAGATTAAATAGGCAGATAATATCATATCGATCACAGGCCCCTGACTCACATCGAATCTAAATCACATTGTGGCAGACTTTGTAATATCAGCATATTTTATCATTGCCCAAAGAACTGATATAATGTCATATTGTGATTAAACTGGTGATTTACACCCCTCAAGCTCAAGCCCAGATCTGGGCACACGTTACCCCAAAGTACAGTTTGCGTGATTAGTGTGAACACTGTGTATCATACCCAGGCATGGTGCACCTGTACACCTGTGCTAGAGTCCACTTGAAAAGTTAGTCTAGAGTATGGTTCATGTGTTCTTCAGTGTGGTACGGGATTTGGATAAGCAAGGATGTCAGCTGAGAAGGTGGTAGGGTTCGAGCCAAAATCATGACTGAGAGAGTTCAGTTTTACTCGTGGTCTGAAAAAGGCAGAGGTCAATATGAGAAAGGTTAGAAAGAGAAGGAGAACTTATCCAATTAGGGATCAGACAAAGAGGCAAGAGTCCAAAAAGCAGGCAGGGATCAGAGACAAAGGCTGGAACGCTAAGTAGCAAGAACGTCCAGAGATCTGGCAGAGAATGAATTGAAATGTAGTGGTGTTTATACACTGCGAGGCTTAATGAGGAAGTGAGGTCAGGCGCAGGTGGGTGGAGGAGGTCAGGTGATGGGGAATGGCGGGAATACAGGGATTACTGCAGGGCAGGAGGGACTGACAGGAGCTGAAACTAACAGTAGAGTTGGGAGATGGCAGGGAAAAGACATGAGAATGTGAGTGCAAGAGTTGGCTGGTATTGTTACAAAATTTTAGTGAAGAATACCAAACACCAACCCTATAGCCAGAAACTAGAATTACCGCCCCTATAATGAAATTGGAAAATATTTTGTTAATGGAAATTTGTGTAAAAAGTCTCCCCTTAGAAAATGACTCAATTAAAGGGGAGATTCTCCGTCCAGTTGCATTTGCTCCCAAATATTGTAGATAAACAAATGTACACGGTATGCTAACCGTCATCTTTTTTATCACGGTATACCTTGAAACTGGTATATCGTTACAACCCTAGACGTATGGCACAAACAGACAGGCTGACAGGCTGACAGACCAACGGACCGTCGATCGTCAGACGGACAACCCAAAAACATAATTCTACATCTCTACATCACTTTTGTACGTTATTATATACGGGTAGATAAGATGAAACTTTCCGTTTTGACAACGCTGTGTTTAACCTGTGACGAGGTTTTGGCACAAACCCACTTAGTTATGGTTCGTAACAGATCATGCTTTGGTTTAAAATATCCAGTTTTGGTGCCACTATCACTGCAGCAACACGTAGCTAAAAAGCACCGATGTTTTGTGGCTATAAAGCCGCTGAACACGCAGCAAGGACTCACGAAAATACAACTGCTTTAGTTGTTGGTCTCAAACAGTGGCGTGCAGTGGTCCGCAGCTTGGCAGGCATCTTGCCTAGGTGTCGCAGCCCTGCAGTTTACATTCACTCTTTACTAGATTGTGTATTGTGCTTCCGCTTTGGCTTTCCAGCCATCTGTTCTGCCTCTCCACCAGCCTCTGCCCGTCAGTCTGGTCCCTCTTAGATATGTTTGCCTGCCTGGTTGTGACTCCCTGAGTCACAACCAGGCAGGCAAACCAAACTTGATTTTTGGAGCAAATGTGAACTTTTACTCATCCTGTCTGTCTCTGAGTCGTGCATCTGGGTTCCAACCTGTTTCCTTGCTGAGCCATAACAGATTTAATGTTCATGCATCTGTTTTCCAACAGAATCCTTGTTGCTGCTCACGTTCTTTGAGAGCCTTTTGTGTCTGATCTAACTCTGCTATCAACGGTCAAATCCTTGATGTAGGCATCTCTGACTGACCCATCTTTACTGTAGTTTCATGAACCTAAATCCTGAATCTGCAAAGCAACTTGTATGTCCAGTCATCAGGTAAGTACAGAGTACAGTATTTCCCCTCTGTGGATGAAAAGTAAAAAGTCTCCAAATGGAAAACATAATCCAGAGGAATGGAGCTGTGTTCAGGGATGTTTGAGAGCTCTGATAAAGAGAGCTGTTGGCGCGGCTGCTATCAGGACCAGGTTACATACTGGGTGTTATGTAAGGGATAATGTACAGAGAAGTGGATGAATAGAGATTCCAAGGTGAGGCGGAGGTTACCCTGATCTCTCTGGAGAGGCTTATTTTGAAATAATAACATTATCCATCTTAACATACAGCCAACTACCAAATACATTATGTGACTATATAACGTCAGAGACATGGAGTTGATTTAAAATGTAAAGCCGAGACTTCCAACAGGCTGAAGGCTTCTCAAAGTACAAGCATGAGTTTCTCTCTGAGATGAGTGTCACCGTCGCTTTAGATTCTTTAAACCTCCAGAACATTACCTTTTCTTTTCCGTACTTAAACAAACCTTGATTCTGAATTTTTAGCAGCGCCCTCTTCCTGTTGGTTCTCCTGACTTTTATGTTGCACTGATCACCACATTCAATTAAAGGCATCAGTGTGCTTCAGACAAAGTGCTTGTTGAATCATCTATTACCTCATTTTCACTGCATGGTACAGCACGGCTCCTTCAAACTGGACACACTCTTTTTTTCTTTGCTGTGGATGGTACACCATACACTGTGTACGCTAAGCCGTTTGCTACATCATACACTACACTGTATGCTACGCACATTACATCGTACACTATACTGTATGCTACGCACATTACATCATACACTACACTGTATGTTACGCACATTATATCGTACACTATACTGTATGCTACGCACTTAATATCATACACTATACAGTATGTTACGCACATTACATCGTACACTATACAGTATGTTACGCACATTACATCGTACACTACACTGTATGCTATGCACATTACATCGTACACTACACTGTATGCTACACACTTAACATCGTACACTATACTGTATGCTACACACACTACATCATACACTACACAGTATGCTACGCACACTACATCGTAAACTACACAGTATGCTATGCATACTTTATATCGTACACTATACTGTATGCTATGCACACTGCATCACACACTACACTGTATGCTACGAATACTACATCATACACTATGCTGTATGCTACACACGTTTTATCGTATACTATACTGTATGCTACGCACACGACATTGCACACTACACCGAATGCTACGTATAATACATCATACACTATACTGTGTGCTACACACATTACATCGTACACTACAGTGTATGCTACGTATACATCATACACTATGCTGTACGCTACGCATACTACACTTACACTAAAAAAACTATGTAGTACACTACACCATACACTACAAACACCTTTACATACACTATGTTGTACACTACAAACACTACGCCATACACTATACACACTATGGTGTACACTGTGTACACTACACCGTACACACTGTACATTACGATTAATAGTGTTCTATTCACGACGTAAACGGCACCAAACACTATTTATTCTGCACTATACACACTTCAGCATACACTACATACACCAGAGCAAACACTACGGTATGCACTGCATACACTATGTTGTACA